ATGTTAGTACAACACAATTTTGATATGTTGTTAATACAAAACAATTTGCATAACTAAAAGCTGTCAGTATGCTTACGCACCGAAATTTTAATAATTAATAGTATGCCTTAATTTCCATACAAATCTAAGGGTAATGGCTTTAAAGCACAACAAACCCTTTGTAGCAAAGGTGAATAAGTTGATGAGGCACAGACGCCAGCATCACCCCCCATACTTCATGAGATATCAAGTGGCGAGACACTGTAGTGACGGACACAAGAGAGAGAGAAACATTCCTGCAATTGTCCCTCGGAGAGTTCCCTGCAGGAGGGTCCTAAAGCCACTTACCGAGGATGGCGGCGAGCTGCTGACGCTGGGGGACCTCTGAACCGTCACCAAAGCCATTATCTCCCTAGTGAAGGCTAGACTTCACCACACACCCGACGGCTGCTCACGTCAAATCATTATAGCGTTATGAATCTAGGACAGAGTACTTCTTCTAAGCAGTGCCATATTTACAATAACAAATTCCAACAATATGACTCATTTTGAAATTAACTTTAGATCAGTTTTGTTTTTCTTACGGAGATAATTTGCAAGAATTTATTTATTTTTACAGCTATTGCAATTTTTGTGTGTTTCTTAAGTAGCATGAAAGTTAAATTGACTCGTTTTGTATTCGGCTTTTTAGCAAACAGTTTTGTTCTCAAGTGAGTTCAAGTTCACAGTCCGCGGGGTTATGGCTAATATTTTATTTTTATATGTAATGTATATACAAGAGTTCTTACATTCTTATAAAGCCACAAGCACGCATAGCGTTTCAGACAAGTCCTTAATCCTAATTTTCCTCGGAATACGATCCGCCAAATTGTTTAACAACCAAGTACCCATTCACTGCTGGGTAAACAGCAGTGAAATATTATATTTCTTTGTCTAATGTTTAATTTTAAAATAAAAAAATTACAAGTTGCCAGACATATATATTTTCGATAAATTAAAATAACATTATGGTTACTTAGTCATTCATAATACGAATACTCTGGGAAATAGAGAAATATATTTTGTGAAGTGGTGGAGTCAGCAAAATGTTCAGTGATTCATGGGGATCTCCAATATTATCCCTAAAACCAATACTGAGCGAACTTTCTATTATTTTTTAATAAACAAATACATCCTGATACTTTCTTTATAGTATTAAAAAGCTGAGTTATTTGAAACATATAAACAAAAAGTTATTTGAAACATACAAGCATTATCAAAATATAATTCAAATAAACAGTTGTAAGATTGTTAATATCAAATTATAGTTCTTAATTACACTGAGTATGAATTAACTACGTAATTTATTTAACGAAATCTCCACTAATGTTTGTAATTAGTATATACAAAAGAACTGTAATTATAAAATAGTCGGGTTCGTTCTTGACTCAAAATTGGGAATCCCGGTTTCGAGTCCCGAGTTTCTCATTAGGTATAATTTTAATTATGGGGTATGACTGCTGAGTGGACAGTGTCGTCTTAAGGGTCCAGGTTCGATTCCCGGCGAAGGCGGACACAAATAGGCAGAGTTTCTTTCACCCTGATGTCTCTGTTCACCTAACAATAAATAGGCCCCTGGGAATGAGACAGCTGCAAAGAGCTGCTTCCTGGGGATGTGTGTGAAAATTAGGATTAAGGACTTATCCAAAACACTTTGCATGCTAGTGGCTGTCCAAGAAAGTAAAAACTCTTGTATATATAAATAAATAAAAATAAAATAAAAAAATAAATTTAATAAAGAGTAAGTCACACTAAGTACAGGGTGCAGATATAGACAACTGTGTATCAAAGGCTTCATTTGGTTGGTTGATTTGAGTTTGCACTACTGTACTGTTATGGTACCGACACCGTCCCGGTGTGGTGGAGTGGCGATTTCTGTGCCATCTATGGATCTGCACTCCAACTCCCAGGTATTTGGCGCAACACAGATAACGCCTTCTGTTGGTAGTGGCGTGGCATTGGTGAAAGGCTCTAATTTCCTGCCTCAGTTAGGTGAGGTTGATGAGGATGACCTCTCGTGGGTGGCGTATCAATATCAATGCCATCTAGGCTGCGACTACAATTACAGTTTCAAATCCCCGGTGGAAGGGTGTTATCCTCATCCTAAGGCCACCCAGTATACTGTCTGTCTAGCTAATGACATTTTATGTTCACAGAGGTGACATAAGGAAGCGATTGCACTGAGGAGAGCAGTTTACCTTGGGCAGTCAAAAATTCTTGACTTGGTTCTGGGAGAGAACAAAGTGGCTGCCATCGGTTACAGCAGTGTGTTAGCTGCTGGTTTATGCAGTGCTGTAAGGGCCGATGTACCCGGGACTGGCCAGGAAGAGTTACGAGCCGACAGTGGTGCATCTGTCGAGAAGTGCTGCTAATGAGTAACTAAGACTTCTGCCAGGGTGCTAGCTACCCCTGTATGTGATTATTTGAAACCCCTGTCAGCATGTTGCTTAAACCTTGCCGGTGTGTATCTGTTGAGTGGAAGTGGGGTATTAGCACATCATGACGATACGGTATATGTGGACTGGCCCATGTTGAAGGTGAACTCGCCGGTGTTTGCCATTAGGTGTGGACGACATGTACCTGGAAAATGGATTCACCGGGATGTGATTAACACATCAGATGTATTGTCCCAAGTGAGACACTTTGTAAATGTGTAATAATACTTTATATAAAAAGTGGTGAAGGTGTAATTGTCTTGTTTATCCCTTCTTTTATTATTTGCACTACTACTTGTCACAGCCAGTTCTTGAAAACTTACCACCGACTTTGGATTGGATAAAGACAGAGGTTATAAGACATTAACAGCAATAACCCAGTTACTGGCCCAAAGTGGCTGTAACAGTACCTACGTGTTGAACCAACATTTTCCAAATGTTAGTCCTCTAAAGAATGAATGAATGTTAAGTGTTATTCTTGCGCAGGATTGAAAGTATTGATGGGTAAGCATCTTATGTTGTAGTTGCTGTCTTCCAGTCACCCACAAAGTTGTATTAAGTAGAGAACCTTTAGAACACTTGCCATATGCATAAGTTTAATTATATTAAGGCCCCCAACATATTTCTAGTATTGAAGCAACTTTTTTTTTATACATCTCTTCCTTGATTAGTTGGACGAGGAGTAGGCCATCCAGGAGTGATGCGTACTAGAGATTGGAGCTCGCTTGTGATTCCCCCAAGATATAAGATGCATCGTAGTCCTGCAAGATACTTGGCTGACTTGCTTGCTACTTCCTAGGTTCAGCTCACAAATTTTTATGGCCTTGTTGAAAATATGTTTAGGAAGAGAAAAACAATCTTGTGTGTGAGGCAGTTTAAATTTTCTGGCATTGTCATAAGTTGGGGCTTTCTGACACTTGTTGGAGCCTGTCATGTACATAATCATCCAGAATATTCTGAGATGGAGAGAGTCAATGCTAAAGACAAATTCTGAGCTTGATTACAGACTGCAAATATGTATACTGTACTTCACATGGGCACAGGCAACAGTATTTTGTATGAAGTACAGTACAGTAAACTATGGTGGCGTCTACCCTTACTTTAACATAGTTAGAAGGAGCTTTGCAAGAATAAGGTACTATACAGAACTTCATTCACTCACATTCTAGATACTATCCTCATAGTTTAAACAAAGTTTTCCAGTGCAGGCTCCAGATCAAATGCCCCTTAATAATAAATTATCCTGGAAGATGGGATTTTTAACATTGTTACTTATTCATTCTCCCGTTCTTAATATCCCCATAATGCATGCAAAGTTTGCCAATGAAGTCTACCAGTCACCTGACCTTGTGTGACAGATTTCTTTTAGCATCACACAACTAGCTCCTGACAGACTATTTAACCCTTCATATCATCTAAGGTAGCTGTATAAGTGCAATGTACCAAAGTATGTTGAAATTTAGGCCAGGAGCTAGGTACTGGAACTGGTTATTAAACATATGGCTACACTGAGCAATTTCAATAGCAGCTATATTAATGCTTTAGTAATTGTTTGATCCACCAAGTCTCAAAAATTAAATTAATGATTATATTTTTGTTCAATAAAAACAATTGAACATAATAAAGTTAAGAGTGCCATTTTAATAATATGAGAGGAGGCACAGATATGAACATGTACAGTATTCACCCATTCAGGACTGGCTAGATTCAAAGATAATTAAGGTAAAAATGCAAGCATAGCACAGTATTGTAATACAATGGAATTTAACTACTATATAATAGTAAAACATTTGCCTCAAGGCCAAATACCAAAGCCTGTTAAATTAAAAAAAATATACTGTAGGCCTACTTAAATGGAGTCTACTGGAGGTTACATTTCAGCCAACTCGAGTGTAATACTGGACTAATCTGCAAAGATGAAAAAAAAGAGCTATGTAGACATGTAGCACTACACAATGTAAATGCGAAGTGGAAAAGAAACTCGTGAGTGATGTTACAAGATGTGATGGACTGGGATGTTAATAAGACTCCTTTCTAGAAAAACTTTTTTTAAAGAGGGGAGACTAAATGTATTAGATACACACTAAAATGCAAGTCTAAAAACAGAAATAGCACATTTAAGTCAACAAAGTAAAGAATGTTTAGTAAAAAAGGAAGAATTTTTTATTTACTCTCCACAGTTGTAAGTGCTAATAAAGCTACTACTATTGATGGCGGTGGTTGGACTCTGGTCATTTGCAGCGCTGGGCTTGCTGCTAGTCATTTAGTGCTCTAGTATAAATCAAGCTTTTTATTTTTGTGCCAATCTGATAACTTTAATCAAATCATAGCACAGGAAATTGTCATTTTACCAAAAAAGATAAATTGCTGCAAATAATGACTATCAGTCCAACATTACCTACATCTCATGTTGATGAAACTAAAATTAGTACAACAGATGATTAAAATAAAAGCAATAATTTCCACGTGCATCTACAGTATTCAACAGATTCCACAACAAACATTTTACCTTATCAATGATTGGTTGTAATAAAGCTTACAGAGGTAATAGTTTTACATATTTATTGCATCATTAAGAAATATCATTATGTACCAATAATAGAAAAATGTTAGAAACATTCTAGAAATGACTTTCCTGAATACACAAGATCAAGACATAAGAACTAAAGAAGACTGCTAATGTAATTTATCACAATTGGAAATTAAGGTCAGATTAATTTTGAATGCTAAGTGCAGTTACATGTTAAATTTAATTGAAGTTTTTTAACACGAGAACAAACATGCTTATTTAAATTTCTTGTGAAGCAGAGTTCACTTTTATCACTAATTACAATTGAGAATAACTTAAATAGTTTAAAAGTACTGTACCATGTTTTTATATTTAAAAACTGATACAATGTACTGTAATCTACAAGTGATGCAAGAATATGAAAACAAAATTATAATAATCATTAATAAAACAATAAGAGTCCTGTGCACAACACAGAACAGTGAGTTTACTTAAAAAATTGATCAATGTCTGGTAAAAGAAGACTTAACTTTCATATTTTTCAAATATGAATTTATTAATTTACTATATGTAAATACCGTCGTGAGGACATTTAAAATGTAGTATAGAATCACAAACCTGGATTATATGGCTAAGTAAGCTACTTAATGATGAAATGACTGATTTCATTTGAGGCTCGAGTATTGTATTTGTTAATTATACAACAAGGATTAACTTATTATTTTATTATCTGTTTGTATTTTCTTCACAATCCCCAATGCCTCGTCTCATTAACACCAGTATCTCCTGGATGTATCCTTCTTCCTCCTGTAAAAAGAAATATATGCTATAAAATATTACAATTTCAAATATTTTTTCTACAAGCTAATAAGTGATGAGGATAAACCAATCTACTTTTATCCACAGTATTACAAGGTATGTAGAACAAGTTTGCAGTTCGGTGATCAACCCATTTGACTACTACTACGTTCATTCTGAATTAAAATGTGTCCATAAATCTACATCAAAATTAAAGATATGTCACATTCCTTGCATGACATTTTACCAAAATTTCTATGGATGAATTCCATTATTTATCTTTAACTTATTCTCTAAAATTACAAGAAAATCCATGTTCTTATATTACCCATAAAAACTAATTCTAAATGTCAAAATTCATTAAAATATGCCATTTGTGAGTAACATTATTCATTTTATATTATCACCATTTCTCAGTCCACCTTAACATTATGAAGCTCATTCCACAGACAAATCTAGCTCAATCAAGTAGGCAATTAGTACCCTTTTTTAAGAACATATCCACTTGTTTGTGTATTGAGCTTGCAACAATACAAAATTTTTCTCGTACGGTCTAAGTATAACTGGCTTTGTACTAGACTCTCAAATCGGAAATCCCAGGTTCAATTCCTGGGCTTCCCATTCATCTAATGCTTCTGTACACCTACCAGAAAAAGGTACCTGGGAGTTAGGCAACTGTTGTGAGGTTGCATCTTTAGGAGGATCAGTACCTCAACCTTGGGGGTACTTCAATATGTATGTACACTATGTATGTATGTATGTATGTACACTAAACTATGTATGTACACAATGCGCACACACGCACACGTCTTGTCTCGAACATCATTTCTCATCAAATTTCTCATCATTTCTTAGAACTTAGGTTTTTTAAGTTCCCATCATCACTTATGCCTCAATACAGTAACAAGTATTGGCCTTATTTGAGAGAAGCCTATGTAATGTGAAAGGTCAAACATTTTCGTCAGATAGTTTTCTGGTGTATTTTAGCACTGAGCAATGATTTTACAGCAATGCCTTGGAAAGCAAATAGTTACACATGTTTATTCTTAGTGAGCAGTACCACCTTCTGTCAAATTTGCAAGACTACAAGGCAAATTTAGACAGTTGAGCCCTTGTCTGTGCTGCATTCATCACTTAATACTTAAAAGTAAAATATTCATACGGATCAAAATTTATAATATTGTACACATTTTACTTACTTGTAGTTCTTCTTTGCCTTTAATGCTGTCAAGTCTAGATGTCAAAATCTCTGAAGCATTTAGTTCAGGTCTCAGGCACTCGGCAAGGGCAGGTGGGTAAGATGCTGCTAAATTAAGCAGAGCTGCCGTGCAATGTTCTCGGGAAATGTTGTCAAACTTATCACTGCTCAATATTGTCAATAACTGCTCAACAAATCCCATGGATACTGCTGTGGCTGATGATTAAAGATATAGATAATTAAAAAAAAATGTTCCAAATGCACAAGTAATCCAAATATAAAATAAAAGTAATGTAATATATTAAACCATTCTAGCAGGTATTACATAATTTTAGCACTCATTCTAGTTATCCTCTTACTATACCCTCAAATTCCCTTGGATACACACTTCACTAGTCTATCATCATCCATCTATTCAATGTACAATATCTAAACCATCTTGGGTACCCTGGAAACACAAACTGTAACTCTTTATTTTCCGCTTGTTGCAACTTGTAATAAAGTTGTTACATCTTGGTTTAACATGTTTATGACATATTAGAACGTTGTTACAACTTGTTATATTGGTTGTTATAACGGGTTAGGTGTTAAAACTTATTCAAACATTGTAGCAACGTCTTAATTTCGGTGTGTGTTTGGCGGGTACACTCATGAATCTTGCCATTTATCAATGCCTGCATACTAAACATCTGACTTTACATTCTTCACCTAATCTATTCTAACACCACACACATGCATCTTGGATCACCTCATTGCTAGTCAATACTTCTAAAAGGGGGTTGATGATTCTGGTACCAATTAACGAGAAAAGAATAATAGTCATTACTTCACTATACAGTATATATACCCTTGATGAAAAGGGATAAAAATGTAGTTGGAGGTCAAGAAATCGCTTCAAAATCTTTAAAAATTTAAGATAAAAGATGTTAACAAAAACCATATGGTAGTACAGTAGACCATTCCACATGATGGAAAATAGATGGAAACTCTTGGATGTTGAATGGAAAATGACAGCAACATAGTACCCCCCTTCAAAACCTACTGTATTTGAAGGGGGTGGCTATAACACAAGACAAATCAACAAGTGTAAAAAATTAAAAACCTGGACAAGTCGCTCCATGTAGATCACTCTCGCCTTATGTAATTTTTTGCGATAATGGATTTAATCACAATACAAAATTTGATCTGCACAAACTTGCACTAGAAGGTGTACCATACTGTACTGTATATGACTTCCAAATAAAATGACCTATTTTACATTGTGTAAAAATAAATAGCTTATGCCCAGTCATTATTTTTTCCAAGATATTTTCAGCTAATTTTAAGCCATTTAGCTTTCATTTGCAATGATTACTATTATCTCTGACATTTGATTCTAAGCATTTATGTTAAAAAAGAATGTTGTATTTTTGCATTTTACGTTCAAAATATAGTACTGTACTGACAATATTAGAGAAGCAAGTAATTATCAAAAGGCACCAAACTAGAAAGACTATGTAGTGGATATTAAAACAAGTGTAACCAGAATACAGAATTTTAAAAATAAAAAGACTTTGCACTTAAGACATAATAAGCTTCAAATAATTTTATTTCAATCATTCCCTGTGTCTTCATGCAAAATTCTTTGTAGGCTTATGTATTAAGTGATTTTTCAGTTGTTTTTTGTAACAGCAATTTATGTTAATAAAGCTGGATCAAATTTGATTAAAGACTTACCTTTATGCGAATCATTTTTTCTAACAAAATTGGTCAAGATGAATGCAGATTTCACAATTAATTTTTCCACTCCCGACTGCATTGCACGCATCAAGTAAGACAAACCATCGGCTTTAACAAATTCCTCTTGTCCTTTTGGGCAGTGTCTAATAAGACCTTCCAAAGAAAGGAAAGGCAATTAATGAAAAAAGTCTTAGTTATATACATAAAAGTTTAACAAAAAAATATTATTCACGATGTACCAAGCACAACTTTAATATCAACTGAACTATCATGTTACAAACAGAAAGGTAAACATTCTATTGTATTATGTATTACTGAATCCTGAATCTGCACTTTATTCCATTATCTAGGTCTAACGATATCAAGGTGATGCAATAAATTCATCTGTAGCATAATAAAATAAATCGTTCATTTTATCGGGGACAGGCACCTTGTGTACATACTTTTGGCTCGTATCAAGATCTCCCAAAGTCAAACTACTTACCCTCCCCAGAATGCAACCCCACAACAGTTGCCTAACTTCCAGGTACGGGCTGTACCTATTTACTGCTAGGTGAATAGAGGCATTAGGTTGAAAGAAACATGCCCAACCATTTGGTGTTCCAGCTGTAAATTAAACCCAGGATCCCCAACTACGAATTTGTTCTCCTTTCTTATTATTACTAAAACAGTTGTCATTGTTTATTGAATTTTTATTTGATATTGCTCTACTTAATAAAAAATTTTTATCAAGTTAAAATATACAACTTGGCAATGAAGTTGGATATTTCATAATCGTTTAGGACGAGCTGGGTTTTGCACACCACAAAAGTGGTTGGCATGCCACTATTGGCAATTGTGCCAATGTATGCCCACCCCTGCTCTAGAAAATGTTTTCAGATTTATGTGTTTGATATTTAGAATTTAAAGCCTAAGCATGGTCACTATGGAAACTTTACAAAAATTATTTTTGATTTTGTACAGTTAACACAAATATTACAGTAAAGTCATATCTTTAGAAAGACCAAGCTCTTTTTAGGTTATAAAAAATATTACTTGATGTTTCTTAATAAAAAAATTTTGAGGGTTTTTATTTTCTATAAACTTAGTAAAGCTCGCCAATTTGTATATTGTGTAAAAACTTCATTCACTAATAATGCAGCATCACAAATCCTTAATAATATCCCTTTTAATTACAGTACATAAAACTTACTTTATAAATACTTTCCAATGACAATCTGATTATGTTTCTATAATAGTTGGCAACTTGCCATTACAGTATTGCCAGATTTTGTTGTGTAGTTTACAGACACAAAAAATAAATACAATACGTAAGAGTTGACTGATTTCTTTCAAATAAAAACTCAATGTAGCTAATAATCTAGGCTTTCTAATAGCAATAAATCATAAAAAAAAGCACAACGCCACTTAACGAAGATATCCACATGTGTAATTAACCCATTGCTAAATGTCACATCAAAACTTACATGATACAGCATACATAGCCTTGATTTTTGCTTGATCATCTTCATCTGTGTCTATCATATCAAGCAATACTGGCATAATGTTGAGTGACAGCATGCTCTCTTGGCAATTTAGGTAATTTTGACATATATCTCCGATTAAGCTAGCGGCACCAGTGCGAAGTGACGTGTGAGGAGAGTCCAAGCATTTCATTAAAACAGGAAATCCACCCAGTTTCTGCAGATCTGAAAAATGAAAATCTCTATATTGTTTGGTTTCCTATCATCAGAGTTAAAATTAGAATAGAAAATAGATGGTACTGAGATGCCTATTGCATAAAATTTAATTTTCTTTATTAGAAACCAGTTTTAATTTTATCAACTACTTCTGCAAATCTGCAGATGAAATGGGGAAAAGGGAAACCTAGAGAAATTCCGTACCTCAAAAAATAAAAGAAAAATGTTCTAATTTGTTCACCATTTCTGCCACACTAAGCACTGCAGTATTGTGTACATCTAGCAGAGTCACGTACCAGCAACACAACAACTGAAGGAACCAACCACTTCATAATACTGTACAACAAAGTCTAAAGTGGTTCCATTTTGTCTTAAGGCTTCACATGAGCGTAGTTACCACTGCACCATTGACTTCCAAAATCATTTAAGAGACTAACACTAAGGCATTTAGAATGTCTAGGGTATGATTCTACATGTGGTCACCCCTCTCATTATATAGTGCCCCAGACAGAAAAAATAATCAAAAGATATGGACATAAGAAAAACTTGACACTGGCTAACCTTATCTTAACTTTGTGTTGCTCTTAAGTTAATACAGTACCTGTATAAAGTAGACATATATACATATCTGAACTGCAATAAATGAGCTACACTTTTACAAAGTGATTGATGTTTGGAAACACGAGCTGGAAAAATACGAGAAGAAGAATCTCCTTAAACTTACAACTGGATAGTCTTAAGAAAATATAAATAGAGCTGGTTCAAAAGGCGGACATTATATTCCATACCAGTGTATGCAAAAATAATAACTTATTGAATGGGTGATCATAGCCTAAATGCCAGAAAAACCAAGGGCACGTAAATGCGGGGTTAATAACTAGAATGAAAAGGGTTCGAGGAGCAGCATATACTGTACGTTTTCGCAGAAAATGCAATGATTAGAACACCTGTTAAACTAAGTTGCACAAGCATAACTAACTGTATAAATTCTACAGTACATGTGTGTATCTGTTTACTGTACTGGTCTCAAGCCAAATGAGGGATCGATATCAATATATAAAATAAAACATTACCAACCTTCAGCGTGGTTAAGGTCATCAACATATTCTTCAATGATCTCCATGGCTCTCTCCTGCTCTGCAACGTTTTCACTGGGCATTGTGACAGCTTCATTGCATAGTGATTTTAGAGCCTCTGCCAATCTCTTGACAACATCTACTGTCATTGAACTCAGTGCTTCCTCCAGGAAAGCTCGGCGCTATGGAATATAACTACAGTACAGTATAATACTAATTTTAAAGGAAAACGTAAATAAAAATCTGACAAGATGCACAGTACTGTATTATGAATATTGAATATTTACCAATTAATAACAAATTAAATTATATATGGAAATAAATTAAGAAATTTGATAGTTCTATGTTATACAACCCTTAATTAAGAAAGAATTGAATGGGTGCAAAATATAGATTGAGTCAAGTTTTTAAGGCATAGGAAAATTCTACTTTAATAAGAATTGCAAAAGACTGCACAAAGAATAACTGTGAAAATAGAACAATGTAAAGTACACCACAATGGTAGTGATGAACCAAAAGAAATTAATTAATTGGTGTACACGCATAAAGATGACATGGAAGTCTTAGATGCATACATTAAATAATATGATGTAATTATCATTACTAATATGCTAAAGAACAAATTGTACGAAGTTTGATGTAGCCATTTGACATTTAACGTATATAATTCTTTTTTTCTGGGGGGGGGGTATATAGGTATATAAACCTAGGTATACATATATACACTGTATACCTATTAAAACATTAACCAGATTTAACCAAATCTAAAAAACTGCATTATGACACACATTTTCTATTATCCTGTCAATTATTTTCAGTTGGTCAAAAAGATACTTAAACATTTTAAAACATTCAGGACCTTTAGCTGCTCAGGATTTGCAAGGCTACAAGACACAGAGCTGTATAGACCGAAGGTTGGTCCTGATAACCCTTAATATGGTATAGTAAGTAGTTTACCAATATCTACTTTCATTGATGAAGAAAAGTCTGATTAAACTTAACAGTAGGATTTGCCTTATTAGTTTATTGTGTCTACACAACACAGCAATTAACTTTGAACAAAATGTTTGGAATTATTCCCCAACAGTCCAAGATGTTGGGCTCTATTGGGGAATAATATCGATAAATTTCCTAGAATTATTAAATAATTAAAATCTATGACAAATCAGAAATAGCAAAACAGTACATTTTGCCTACCTCTGGATCCAACGCATGAAGCTGTGAAGGACCCGTCGTGTCTTCCCTTGCTGTTATTTCTGTACAGAAGTTCAGAAGTCCTTGCAAGTTTCGTGGCCGTCTTGGGCCCTCATCATCTTGTCCGTCTGACATTTTGACTGCAATAAAATATATACAAAACCTTAGTCTTAGTACTAAACTCGTATTTGGATTGTGAATAACATTTTAAATGAATGATAAAATCTTATTAAAATTTTATCTAATTGCACCATCTCATATACTCAACAATACCCAAGATATAAAGACAAATTTATTGAGCAAACTGCCACTCACAGGATGTTTGGATCATGCACTCTTTTGAGCTTATTATTTAGAACCTAATCAACAATTTTAAGAGCAGGGGCTATTCATAAGCATTACTACCCAGAAACCAGACATTTAAGGAGGCACTAACATAAATGCAAAGCCTCTTTATTGAAGCTGATTTTTAACACTTACGATGGTGGCCTACATCAACTGATAAAAGGGGTTATCCATGGTCAATACATCACAATGTTTTTCACCATTGAAACTCACGATTAAAACCCAATTCTTATAAATGCTTATAATTACCAGGATTTCAAAGTTCTCTGGCAATTACTACCCAATTACAAATTTACCATTGTTATAAATGTCCTTAATAAGAAGAATTTTAGAGGAATTTTAGAGGATTTAGAGCATCATCACTCACAAAATATTAATAAAACTGGCTATAATTGAATTTGAAATTAGATAGTTTCTTTTGTTTCCTGTAAACTATTAAAAGAGCAAACATTTTATACAAATTTCAGTGATAAGAAAAAGAAGCAATTAATACTGTACAAACTTTTGTAAACATTTCTTTTCACATATTCCATATCTTAACTAAAACTCTTTCTTGAAAACAAACAAATTAAATATTTCTTAATCGTGCACTAAGCTGCCAGCTGCTTGAAACAATTGTCCTCTAAAGGGTTGTCAGGTTAAACCAGATGCAAAATAATGAGAAAATCTGATACAACCCCATTTAAACTAAGACACCAACCACCTGCTCTGCCTTTACCGATTCATTACTTACACTACATTAAGCAGCCTGGCCTTATCATTTAAAAGATCCTGAACTGCCTTGTGGATATAAGACACACAGTAATACGGTATACAGACATACAGTACTACACTATTTTATTACTTTATTTTTTTTTTACTTTGCTTTACAGTCAGTAACTTTAGTAAAAAATATACATAGGTAACTTTACACCAAAGATGTTCCCTAACATTTTAAAACCTGCCTACCTGACCTAGCCTAATATGATACTGTATGTATCTTGAGTTATCTTAAGTTATCTTGAGATGATTTCGGGGCTTTAGTGTCCCCGCGGCCCGGTCCTCGACCAGGCCTCCACCCCCAGGAAGCAGCCCGTGATAGCTGACTAACACCCAGGTACCTATTTTACTGCTAGGTAACAGGGGCATAGGGTGAAAGAAACTCTGCCCATCGTTTCTCGCTGGCGCCCGAGTATCGAACCCGGGACCACAGGATCACAAGTCCAGCATATGATTTTAACAATTATTGACCAAGCTTCTTCGAAACGCCTCTATATGATTAATGTATATAAAACAGTTAAAAGTCTTTTTCTAATTATCAAAATAGTAGGGTATTTTGACAGTTAACAAAATAACATTCTAACCTAACAAATCATTAGGTTAGGATGGTATTAGCTCAAGTTAGGCACAATTGTGTTAGATTTTAAAAAATCCCTTGACGAAGCATCTTGTGTACAATACAACATGTACCCATTTTGTACACCCACACTAGACAACCTGCCTCATGTATTTTTAAGTATGTAAGTATATTTTTAAGCATGTATTTTTTATGTAAACCATGGGAGGTAAAAGCAACTTTATACACAATTGTTTCACATACACATCTACAGTACTTTCCTCCATAATCATTAATCTTAATAGCTGGATATTAAGGGTCCCGGTAGTACAGTCGAGTTCATTCTCGACACAAGCGAGAATTCCGGGTTCGAATCCCAAGCAGGACAGAATTGAATGGGCACATTTCCTTTTACCTAATACCTATGTTCACCTAGCAGTAAGTAGGTACTCAGGAGATAGTCAGTTTGTTGTAGGGTTGCATCCTGGACGGGGTTAGTAATTAAGCCTGGATGAGGGTAGGGGGGTCTTGATAAAGCTAAACGTGTATGAACACACTCTGGCTTCCTGTCCCGACACACTGAATTATTATTATTAAATTATCTTTAGTAATAACTTCATAAAACAACCCTTTATAATGTGCTCGACACATTATTAATATACATATGGAGACTTCATTACAATTAAACACACATTTAAGCGAATCATTGTACTTACGTCTTAATTAACGACCTTAATGTCTCTTCCAGTCTTCGTTATTTCTCCTTTTAACAGCGTCTTATATTACCGTGGTCCGGGAGGTGACGGTGGCGTTCAGCGATGACTGAAGTTATCTGGCGAGAGGTCCAGTCCTTCACTGTAATATACTGTATATATATATTCCCAGCCACAAGAGCCTCGGTGAGCCAGGAACACTCTAGCACCTGCCTCCCTCGCCTCCGGGTCCAGGGTTGCCAGCGCCAAAGTGCTGAAAGTAGCGAGCTGACGCTCTAAAAGTAGCGAATTTGTAATGCGAGTAGCCCAATTTTTTGTTTAGTGACTGATATACGGGTTTCAAATATATTTTGATATATATAGAGTACACTACACGATGTTAATTGTTTAATTCATATTATTTCTGCACACACACACACACACATCTATATAACTATATATATATATTAAAAAAAATAGGTTAAGTTACCAATATTTACTGTATGAAGCATAATGGGTGTGGAGTCCTTCCACGTCTTCACAGATGTAGATTATCAATATCTTCTTCGATCAAAAACGCATATATAAAACACATATATGCGCTGGCGTGTGTTCGCTTCGGTTCTCGTCTGAAAGATAATAAAATGCCTAATAGAAATTGAGAATAATAAGATGGCATATGAGTGTATTATATTATAATAATACAAAAGTATTTTTCAGATATGCGATTTATCCTTATACAATTGAATGAATTAAATAAGTTTGTCTTAACATCTTTCATATTACAAAATCATATCGAAATATCTACACTAAAATCATTGTAGGTAGATGCCCGAAACGCTGTGCGTATTAGCCCACTGCTTATACTGTTGTATATCTTATTATTATCTATCAGCAAGGGCTTTGCCTCTTATTTACAGAACGAATAGACTCAAGATGGTGCAAACAATACAACTGCAATAATCCATTGGATTATTTGCAATGTTTGCAACTAGACCGTAGTTGCACACTTTGTAACGGTTCTATTGTTACGTAAAGTATGGTGACAAATAAACACAGACACTAAGATACTATATATATATTTGGTCGAATATACAGAAGTACACAGGTGATACTTTGGTGTGAGTTGAGCGCACTGAGAGTCGGTACAGTATAGTATCTCGCAAGTGTCTGCTCTAGACCACACTTGAAAGTAGACTAGCCAATGTTCGCCACTCCGCTGCTTATATGCTCGGGCAACACCTCACCGTGTTGCCCGGGCAACGCCTCACCTCATTCATCTCCAAAGGTTGACAGGAATATTAACAATGCATTTGGAGCGAGTATATTATTGGAATAATCTACTCGCTACAACTTCATTGATTTTTTGCCGCCAGAGGTGGATAATTCATTAAGCATTCCCTATTCAACCAGCGAGTGGTAGTATATTGTGAACCCTGAAGCCCGACCAGTCATGTAAGCGGAACTCGACCAGTTCTAGCTGTAAGTGCAAGACTAGCATGAACAAATCAAACAAAACCTCTGAAGCACAATCATGCACGAGTCGAAGCCCGACCATACACAACCCGTAGCCCAAGGGACACGTACTTCCGGAGCCCGACCAGTTATTTAACCGGAGCCAAACCAGTTGTGTAACCGGACCCCAACCAGTTGTGTAACCGCAAGCCTAGCAAGTATATATCTCATCCCACCCCCATCAAGCTAAACAAACAGCCCCAGAGACCAACAAAACTCTATTCCTAGCTCTACCAAACAAACACTTCCTTAGCCCTACCTAAAACCCTCCACTTACCCTACAAATCTACTATGGAGCCATAGCAAACAAAAAATTGAGCTATGTACGAAAAAAGACACCTGGATTTCTAGCGACCGTATAACCATAGAGCTCTAGCAAACAAACCTGCAGCACTAGTACACAAACAACCCCTGGAGCACAACCATGCACGAACCGGAGCCCGACCATGCACAACCCAAAGCCCAAAAAGTCACACCCCCAGAGTTATGTAACTGGAGCCCGAACCAGTTGTGTAACCGGACCCCGACCAGTTGTGTAACCGCAAGCTAGGCATAAACAAACTAAACAAACAATTCAAAACAAACATCAAACCAACAACATCTGAAGCACAACTATGCACTAACCGAAGCCCGACCATGCACAACCCGTAGCCCAAGTGACACCTCCGGAGCCCGACCAGTTATTTAACCGGAGCCCGACCAGTTGTGTAACCGGAGCCCGACCAGTTGTGTAACCGGACCCCGACCAGTTGTGTAACCGCAAGCCTAGCATGAACGAACCAAACAACAACCTCTGCAGCACAACCAAGCACAAACTGAAGCCCGACCATGCACAACCCGAAACCCAAGTGACACCTCCGGAGCCCGACCAGTTATTTAACCGGAGCCCGACCAGTTGTGTAACCGGAGCCCGACCAGTTATTTAACCGGAGCCCGACCAGTTGTGTAACCGGAGTCCGACCAGTTGTGTAACCGGAGCCCAACCAGTTGTGTAACCGCAAGCCTAGCAAGTAAATATCTCATCCCACCCCCATCAAGCTAAACAAACAGCCCCACAGCCCAACCAAACTCTATTCCTACCTCTACCAAACAAACACTTCCTTAGCCCTACCTAAAACCCTCCACTTGCCCTAGAGACCAACTATGGAGTCATAGCAAAAAAAATATTGAGCTATGTACGAAAAAAGAAACCGGGATTTCTAGCAAACGTATAACCATAGAGCCCTAGCAAACAAACCTGGAGCACTAGTACACAAACAACCCCTGGAGCACAACCATGCACGAATCGGAGCCCGACCATGCACAACCCAAAGCCCAACAAGTCACACCCCTAGAGTTATGTAACTGGAGCCCGAACCAGTTGTGTAACCGGACCCCGAACAGTTATGTAACCGCAAGCCTAGCATGAACAAACCAAACAAACAATTCAAAACAAACAACATCTGAAGCACAACCATGCATGAACCGGAGCCCGACCATGCACAACCCGTAGCCCAAGTGACACCTCCAGAGCCCGACCAGTTATTTAACCGGAGCCCGACCAGTTGTGTAACCGGAGCCCGACCAGTTGTGTAACCGGAGACCGACCAGTTGTGTAACCGAAGCCCGACCAGTTGTGTAAACGCAAGCCAAGCATGAACAAACCAAACAAACAATTAAAAACAAACAACATCAAACCAACAACATCTGAAGCACAACCATGCATGAACCGGAGCCCGATCATGCACAACCCGTAGCCCAAGTGACACCTCCGGAGCCCGACCAGTTATTTAACCGGAGCCCGACCAGTTGTGTAACCGGAGCCCGACCAATTGTGTAACCGGAGTCCGACCAGTTGTGTAACCGACGACCGACCAGTTGTGTAACCGAAGCCCGACCAGTTGTGTAACCGAAGCCCGACCAGTTGTGTAAATGCAAGCCAAGCATGAACAACCCAAACAAACAATTCAGAACAAACATCATCAAACCAACAACATCTGAAGCACAACTATGCACTAACCGAAGCCCGACCATGCACAACCCGTAGCCCAAGTGACACCTCCGGAGCCCGACCAGTTATTTAACCGGAGCCCGACCAGTTGTGTAACCGGAGCCCGACCAGTTGTGTAACCGGACCCCGACCAGTTGTGTAACCGCAAGCCTAGCATGAACGAACCAAACAACAACCTCTGCAGCACAACCAAGCACAAACTGAAGCCCGACCATGCACAACCCGAAACCCAAGTGACACCTCCGGAGCCCGACCAGTTATTTAACCGGAGCCCGACCAGTTGTGTAACCGGAGCCCGACCAGTTATGTAACCGGAGCCCGACCAGTTGTGTAACCGGAGCCCAACCAGTTGTGTAACCGCAAGCCTAGCAAGTAAATATCTCATCCCACCCCCATCAAGCTAAACAAACAGCCCCACAGCCCAACCAAACTCTATTCCTACCTCTACCAAACAAACACTTCCTTAGCCCTACCTAAAACCCTCCACTTGCCCTAGAGACCAACTATGGAGTCATAGCAAAAAAAATATTGAGCTATGTACGAAAAAAGAAACCTGGATTTCTAGCAAACGTATAACCATAGAGCCCTAGCAAACAAACCTGGAGCACTAGTACACAAACAACCCCTGGAGCACAACCATGCACGAACTGGAGCCCGACCATGCACAAACCAAAGCCCAAAGAGTCACACCCCTAGAGTTATGTAACTGGAGCCCGAACCAGTTGTGTAACCGGACCCCGAACAGTTATGTAACCGCAAGCCTAGCATGAACAAACCAAACAAACAATTCAAAACAAACAACATCAAACCAACAACATCTGAAGCACAACCATGCACGAACCGGAGCCCGATCATGCACAACCCGTAGCCCAAGTGACACCTCCGGAGCCCGACCAGTTATTTAACCGGAGCCCGACCAGTTGTGTAACCGGAGCCCGACCAATTGTGTAACCGGAGCCCGACCAGTTGTGTAACCGAAGCCCGACCAGTTGTGTAACCGAAGCCCGACCAGTTGTGTAACCGAAGCCCGACCAGTTATGTAAACGCAAGCCAAGCTTGAACAACCCAAACAAACAATTCAGAACAAACATCATCAAACCAACAACATCTGAAGCACAACTATGCACTAACCGAAGCCCGACCATGCACAACCCGTAGCCCAAGTGACACCTCCGGAGCCCGACCAGTTGTGTAACCGGAGCCCGACCAGTTGTGTAACCGGACCCCGACCAGTTGTGTAACCGGAGCCCGCCCAGTTGTGTAACCAAAGCCCGACCAGTTGTGTAGCTGCAGCACAACCAGTTGCACAAACTGAAGCCCGACCATGCACAACCCGAAACCCAAGTGACACCTCCGGAGCCCGACCAGTTATTTAACCGGAGCCCGACCAGTTGTGTAACCGGAGTCCGACCAGTTGTGTAACCGGAGCCCAACCAGTTGTGTAACCGCAAGCCTAGCAAGTAAATATCTCATCCCACCCCCATCAAGCTAAACAAACAGCCCCACAGCCCAACCAAACTCTATTCCTACCTCTACCAAACAAACACTTCCTTAGCCCTACCTAAAACCCTCCACTTGCCCTAGAGACCAACTATGGAGTCATAGCAAAAAAAATATTGAGCTATGTACGAAAAAAGAAACCCGGATTTCTAGCAAACATATAACCATAGAGCCTAGCAAACAAACCTGGAGCACTAGTACACAAACAACCCCTGGAGCACAACCATGCACGAATCGGAGCCCGACCATGCACAACCCAAAGCCCAACAAGTCA